TCTGCCCAGGCTTTCCCGGGCTGTCGGGCCACCTCCTGCTTGGTGGAGTGCTCATCCATCCCTCCATCCCTCCACCCACCCTGTGCTCCTGCAGGCACCGGGGCAGCCTGGGCTCGCTGCAGCTGCAGGTCAGGCTGCGGGACGAGACGGTGCTGCCCCCTCACTGCTACCAGCCCCTGGTCCAGCTCCTGTGCCAGGAGGTGAAGTCGGGGCATCAGGTAGGGAGTCCATGCCCTGCTGGGGCACCCACCTTCCTCCAGCTCTCTGCCAGGGCGTGCATCTCCCTCGAGCCATCACGTCGTGGTGCCTCTCCCCACCAGGACGGCCAAGTGCACCTGGTCACCCTCCTGGATGAAACCACCACGGCCGAGTGCCGGCAAGAGGTCGCCATCAACTTGGTCAAACTCTTCCTGGGCCAAGGGCTGGTCAAGGAGTTCCTGGACCTGCTCTTTGAGCTGGAGCTGGCCAAGCCCTGTAAGGCTGGAGCAGGGAGTGGAGCTGGAGGCATCCAGCCATCTTCTGGGGCTGCAAAACCTCCAGGACCTCGTGTGGTGATTTTTTGGGGATGACGGTTGAGGTTCACTGTGCTCTGGGTGGGAACCTGTTGGGTTCATCCCAAGCAACTCATGGGCTGAGGTTGGCTGAGGTTGGTGGAGGAGCAGGTGGCTTGACATTAGGAAATCCTCATAAGGTTCATGGAAATGCCAAGGCTGGAGGGCACAGCCCCTGTCAATACCCCCATGATTGCAGCTGCCCGGTGGGTGACCTGTGGCCATCACCCAGGCCACAGACCATCTCCTGTTTTGCAGGCGAGCCCAACACTTTGTTCCGGAGCAACTCCCTGGCCTCAAAGTCGATGGAGTCCTTCCTCAAGGTGCCATGCTGCCCAAAACCTGCTCTTCCCAGGTCACCCTGGCTCTGGGCTGTCCCCAGAGGACACTGGGGAGGAGCACTGGGAGGGTGGTGAGGCTGTGTCTTTCCCTGGGGCTGGGAAGTTGGAGAAGATCCCCTGGGTGACCCTTATCAGGGAGTCTGGGGGTGTCAGGTGCCAAACCTGTGGCCACGGCCAACACCACCACAGTCCCCTGCGTGGTCCCTGGGCAGGTGACGGGGATGCCGTACCTGCACGCTGTCCTGGGACCCACCATCACCCGTGTGTTCGAGGAGAAGAAGTACGTGGAGCTGGACCCCGGCAAGGTGGAGATCAAAGACGTCGGGTAAGGGGCACATGGAGCCGCGGGGTGTGGGGGACCCCGACCGTGGGGCTGATGGTGACGGTGCCTGCAGGTGCTCAGGGCTGCACCGGGTGCAGACGGAGGGCGAGGTGATCG